AGAATCTCTTCAGGTATTAAATCGGTTTTTGATTGAGATGATATTCATGTACAACAGCAATTTTTTCAGAAAGAAAATCTAAGAATTCGACAACAATATCGACTATCAAAATTTATTTATACCATTAGATTTATCTATTGGATAGTATATAATATATTTCAATTGTACTAAAAGAGAATTATTATTTTGAAGAGTTAGCTCTTACTCTCAATTAAGTAATTGCTTACAGCATACTTCTTCAATTTGATGATAAGATTTATAATAAGACTTATAAAGAAATTATGAAAAAAATAATTTCCGGAAGCTGCTGATAGACATCTTATAAACGTAACGAGGAGAAGTAATTATAAGAAAAATTCTCTCATGTTGAGGCTATACACAAGAGATGTTCTATGACAAAAAAAATTTTTTTTTTTTTTTTCTATTAAATAATAATTGATTAAATCTATCCAGAGAAGATATTCAGGTTAAACTTATTCCCATCAGATTCTCTCAAATTCTAATAATAGTTTCTTGAAAATGTTATCACATTTCCATATATAAAATATCGAAGCTTTATGACAATCGAAAACTAATTAAAATTCAATCGTCTGATAGTTTACCGACTGTTTGATCTTTTGCTCTGATTATACGATCTATAGGTTTTTTTTTAAAATACATTGTATTTTAATAAGCATATTTAAATAAGAAAACAGGAAAAAAAAATTGTAATATTCAATACCAATTCCACGAGAAAATGTTAACCTTGACTGAGATTATTTCCAGTCAATTAATAAAAATCAACAATATTCAAGAACGTTCGAACTTAACCGAAACTTTTGCCAATTACCTAAATATCCAACACTGTCTGAACTGGTTTGATAGTTTCCGAACCTAAACATCGAGCTGGAGTTCGGGTTTGGTACATATTCTTCTTTTTGATATCATCTAGGTAATTAATATATCTTTCATATGCGTTTCAAAACTTCTTACATCAGTTTTGCATCTCGCAACAATTAAGAATCTTTATTATGCGAACATTTTCGAACTTTCATTTACCCAATAAATAAAAGTAGAACATTTATTCGATTCAATGACATTCTTCATCCACAGAGAAAGCACGCATGTACTATCAATTGCATTACGCAGCATAAATGTTACTACAGTAAGACATTGTAACTAAAAGATAATAATCGATTAGTGGTTATTTTAATAATAGTCTTCAAGAAGTTAAATTAATTGCGAACACATCTTACTCTTTCGGTTCAATAAGTAATTCGATTTATCTCTTATGCTGTTTTTTGTTTTTTAAGTATTAAACTTGTCCGATCTTGTTCAATTTATAATTACTATGATAATAAATGACTGCAGTAATTGTGAGTATTATTCTGAGCTTGAATAATTCTTGATCGGATACGTTATGCATCAGATAATTCTGATTAAAACTAATTTAGCTTGAGAATGTTGTGAAATCTGTTTTAAAAAAGCAAGAAGGAAATAGTAATGAACTTTCGGAGATGGCGGACATTTTGCACTAAGTTATTCCGAACTTCTGTCACGTGTCCGAGTGCTTGGAAATGATTTTTGTCCTGGATAACGTTCATTACGAACATCCTGTCTTTTCCTTATGTTCGGAGATCGTAATGAACTCCGTCGTTGGAAGATTGTAATGAAAAGTTGGTGCGAAATGTCTCTTTCCCACTTTCGAATCTCATTTATGAATTATTATCTTTATTCAAATAAGTATTTTAGAAGTCTATCGAAAAATTCGACATACTTATATTATTTGTTTGTTGTTTAGTTATTTTATTTGTTAATTTTTGTCGTTTTTTTTCTTGTTGATCATTTTGTAATTTTCGTTTATATCCATTGGGTTTAGTTGTTTGTTTTTTTAATGTATTTTCATCATATATATTCATAATTGTTTTTGAATGATCATAATTTGTTGAATTTAAATGTGATGATAAATCACTTTCAATTAATGATGTACGTCGAGTTGTTATTATTCGACGTGGTTTATTATTATTATTATTTGTTTCTGTATTTGTATTAAAAAATTTTCTTGATATTATTTTATTTGTTGATTGTTCATTTGTTTGATGATATAAAAGATTTGTTGGTGTTGTTGGATTTATTGATAATGTTTCTGTTGATGATGATGGTGAACATACACGTCTTATATGTAATTTAATTGATGCATGTTCATTTGGTACATCAATTGAACGCATTGTTGTTGTTGATGTTGATGATGATGATGATGTACAATTTGATGTTAGAATATTATATGATGGTATTTGATTTTGTTGATTATTTGTTTTACATTTAATTATTTTTGATTGTATATGTTGTTCATCATTATCATCAATTATATAATTTGTATTATTCTAAAAGAAGAATTTTTTTTTTTGAAAATAAATTAAAAATTTTCTTAATACTTTAATTTCATCATTTATTGTTGATGATGAAACAATTTTATTTATATCAGCCATTAGTTCATTGGAATTTTAATTAATTATCAATTATTTATAATCATATCGTATATTCATTTATTTGACATTTTATTGATTATGTAATGAGTCAATAATTGAAATAAAAATACACAATAATTTTAATCGATTAGAAGGAAAAGAGAGGCAAACTCTTGAAGAAGTTCTTATAGTAAAGGGAATCTAAGTAATAACCAATCAATAAATAATAGCCATAATTGACTTTAATAAAACTCTATTATTAATAAGAATAAATAAAATGTTTAATAAAATCATTTCATATGTTTATTATCATTAATTTAGATCGGTATTGATTCAGTATCATGAAGAAATATTCATAATAGATGTCGCTATAAATAGATGAGAACCCCCAAGCAAAAATACAGTACCTGATGTACTATCATACTACTTTGAAAAAAATATTGTATTTCTTAATTTACTGAAAACAAAATAGACTAATGTGATAGTACTCTTTGGAAAGTAAAACAAAATGTACTTTGTTTATTTGTTGCGACATTACTGTAAAAATTGTTCGTCTATATCTCTTTTTGATATATTCTAATTCTTTTTATTCTTATCATTGAAATTTTTTCTTTTTATCTTATTTCTTATACGTACTTTCTTTATAAGTTTTTTTTTTCGGACGTAATAAATTAGATAATTCAATCGAATCAACTTCATAGTCTTGTGACGAATGTATTACGTATGCACGAACATTTCTTTCATTTTATCCAAATATTTATGAAAAATATCTATTTAAATATGAAAATAAAAATAAGTATTTCTTAAATCTAGTCAAATGAATATGTATATGCTATCTTTATATTATTCTTTTTTTTTTTTACACAGAAACATATTTTTCATAACACGATACGAATACTAATAACTTTGGCATTTGTTTTTATTTATCAATTCGTTTATTTTGATACTTTTTTGTTTAGAATAAATTATTCAAAGATACTTTATCAAAGGAAATGAAGTACTTTAGTTTCAGATGGGTATGGTATTCGGAGCTTTATTTTCATTAAATCATAAGCATTCCCAAGACTGAATATTTTGTTAAAATCTATGATCAATTTTGTAGGCATGATTGAAAAGTTCTGTTTAATGAACATCATTCAAACTTTTGAAAATTGTTCATCTATAGAAGATATCACATATTTTACTACGAAAGGTTTCATTTATTAGTTTTCAAGTAATCAAAAACCATTCTCTGTTTTTTTTCATCTAAATATTTACTTTATTTCGCAAAGTCTTTATATTATTGTTTTAGCCTCGATATATCGGCTTGTCCAAGCGTAAGGCGATGACGTTTTGTTCACACTGTCTTCAAATTTTCTCAGCAACGAAATCCTTTAGAAATTTGATTTTTTCGCTAGAAGATGTGTCTTCTTAGATACTCTTGGAATCCGGTAAATTTGAATTTATTTAGCTAACCATTCTGAAAATCATAGGAAAAATATACAGCGTTACGCGAGGACGCAAACCGAAAAAATAAAACCCTTTTCCTGCTATTAAGATGTCCACAATATTGAATAAACGCGAGTTAAATCTCGTCTTCTGAAAGCTACAAATAGCTTTTATCCATTTCCTCCCTAATTATATCGGATAATAATGGTGATATTTAGACCTGATTTTTCAAACTATTGGTATTAGAGTTGACGCGTTACGTGGACAAGCTGATATATGAATTTCATGAACAGTATTTGTGCAATTCACATCCGAATATGTATTCATCAAATTTTATGCTGTCAAAACTTTTAAATTATTTGTAAATCATTTAAATATTTGGATACAGAATCAAGTACATATCGATTTCTTAACTTTTCTCAATGTAGTCTTTTAATGAGATCGTATTGTTCAAAATTTTCACAAGCTAATATTTACATTTTAATGTCTTTGAAATGCAATAAAACATTAATTTAAATGTTAATAAATACTTTATTTTTTTTTGTCTTGTAAAATTGTATGAAAGAGAACAGTTAATTTTACTAGATTGTTCTTATTCATAAAAACTTAGAAAATATCGTAACATGAAAAACTTGTTATGAATATTCTTTACAAAAATAAACATAAAAAACAAAATGGCAAAAATAATTCGATTCAAAAGATGATTTGACTCGTCCAACCTAAACAATGAACAGCAGTTTTAGTGCATTAGCTACAAATAATGAAGAGGAAAACACGAGAAGAAAACAGTGCACATGTGTTCATTTAAAAGAATTTAAAGTAACAATTGAAACTGTAAAAATCAGAGATGAGCAAATGTATTATGTGCCACTCCAATTCTGAGTTGAAGTTGCCCATCTATTGTAAAAAATAATATTCAAATTCCGAGTAGGAAGATGTTTACTAATAGAAGTTTCACTATAGTTTTTTGTTTTTCATTTCAAATTTACTTAAAAAGAATATCTTGTCATATAATTGGCGCGAAAGTTTTAATAATTCAAGACAATCACAATGGTATATCGATAATTAATTATGTCTTTATCATGATCATCAATGACTTCATCTTATTCTTTTGATGCAAACAATATGGATCAAGTTAATCTAACAGATACAAATATTATTAAATTTACTATGTCAACAACAATTGATAATAATGAAAATATATGGAATAATATCAAAGTAAAAAAAAAGTATTTTTTTAAATAATAAAAATGAAATGAAATTTATAAATGAATATTTTAGTCATTTTTTAATCCTCAAAATTCTATGATAATAATAGCTATTATTTGTCTAATGTTTTTTTTTCTAACATTATGTCTTGTATTTATTATAATTCAATTATTAAAAAAGAAACGTTTATATAAAAATCAAACAAAATCAACAACAAATAATTATCCAAAATTAGATCATCATTTAAATATTCCATTATCTCCAAATCAAATAGCATCATTAGGAACAATTATTTCAACAAATAAAGATATTAAAATTCAAGAATCATCATCATCATCACCACCACCAACAACAACAACAACAATCATTCCTATATCATCAGCATATGAAAGTAATAAAACACAATCATTTGATAATTTTGAAAATGAACTTAAACGAACATGTCAAGAAAAAGGTATTACATCATCACATACAACTAATATATCATCAATTAATGATGATGAAGTTGAAACAGTTAATGAAGTTCTTGGAATGGAAGAACGTAATGGAAAAGTTTATTATAAAGTTAATTTTACTGGTCATCCATTAGATTATACTGCATGGGTTTGTGAAGAAGACTTAATACCTGAATAATAACAATGATTCTTTTTCTTTTTTTCTTGAACATCACTTATTGTATACAATCAAAATATAAGAAAATAATAAATCTATATAAAGAAGATTACATTTTATCAAAATATGATTTAAAAAGAATGTCGAAATACATCCCTTTGAGTCCGATAGTAGCAAAAATGCTACACATGTTTTGTAATTATCGGCTGTCCCATAATGAATGGCCAGTTTTTGTATTTCTTTTTTTTATCATCTAGTACGTTTACCTTAAAAACAAAATATGCCATAAGATACAGCGTGAAAAACTCTACAAAGCAAAGCTTATTTTAATTGTGTACTTTTTGTTTTCAAAAAAAGTAAAATTCTGTGCGACTAATTTTTACCATTGCGAAAAAATCATTTTTTTCTACGCGAAGAGAAATTCTTTTTTTTTTCTTTAGTTCATATATAAAAATAAACTATTCTTTGTAATTGTAGAGCTTTTCATGTTGCATCTTATGGTATGTTTTGTTTTTAAAATAAACGTACTAGATGATACAAAAACTGGCCATTCATTATGGGATACCCGATATTTTTCACAACATAATTTACAAGTTAAATTTTCCATTCAAGTGCAGCAAAATTCAATAAAAACCTACATTAAGTAAATCTCATGCGAGTGCAAACGAGATATTTGTGTTATGTGTATCTGTGTGAAACAAGGTAATATAACAGGCTGTTTCAATTCAATCTATCAGAAATAATTTCGGATTCAAAGGGGTTAACTGTCGAACCGCATCCAATAGTTGAATATATTTCCTTGTTAGTAACGATACGTCAAAGACCTGACAAACATCTTAGCAATTCTTTCATGATGAACGACAACGCGAACATTTAGTGAAAAATGTGAAAGTGATTTGAATACAGGATGGCCTAAAAGTCATGATACGGAAAAAAAATTGAATATATCCCATATGGCTCAAGCAAACGAGCTGATTTTTTTTTATCAATGATAGAGGCGTGTTCAAACTTTATATCCATAAAGACATGCCTAGAGAGGCCCTTTGTTAAGTATCACTATTGATCTTAACAAAAAAATTTTACTTTTTTACAAATTTGGGAAAAAAACAATAGACTTAACAAAGGATCTCTCTAGGCATGTCTTTATGGATATAAAGCTTGAACATGTCTCTATCATTAATAAAAAAATCAGCTCGTTTGCTCAAGCTATAATTGAGATATTCAATTTCTTTTCCAGTAAAGTGACTTTTGCACTATTTTGTATATTGATTTTTTTTCCTATCTGTGAAAACGTAAAATTTTTTTGTTGAAGTCAATAGTGATACTTGAAAAAGGTTCACTCTAGCCTTGTCTTTATATATACATATATATGGAGTATGAACATGCTTTTACTAGTGGTAAAAAAATCAGTCCGGTTGCTTGAGCCATAATAGACATATTCAATTGTTTCTCGGTTGCGTGACTTTTGAGCCACCCTATACTTTAGTCGATTTTTTGGTTTAAAAAACAATTATTTTAACTCCTCAAAGGTTTCAGATTGTGATGAACAGGATCAAATATTTTTAGTCTCGATTAGAAAAAATTTTTGGCTATGGGTTCGCACTTAGTAATACATGTACTAGCAAAAAATGTGATGTCATTTTGTAGCAATGTCTGATCTATTCTGGACGTTAATGTGTTCGACAACTGTACTGTCTACACCAATGAAAGGATTAATTTTCGCATAAACTTTTCGAGTGACTGTGGATGCCCGTGACATATCCATGAACTATCTATGGATGTCCTTGGGTCTCTATGAGTGTTCATGTTCACAAAAAAAAAAGTTATATTCCAGTTGAAAAATAAAGAATAACCTAGAATGGATGTCCGTATTCGAATTCTATCTTATACTGAAGCTTTGGTGATGTTTTCAGTTTCTACAAGTATCCTATTTCTTGTTTTCATTTGTCTTCTTTTGAATAGGCGAATATTTTTTGAGATTAAACTATTTTAAATTGATTACTTTTTATATATTCATTTCTATGTTTTATTTAAACAAATACGAGAATACAATATAATAGGAAAACCATGTTATACACAAATTTTTGTTTTTATTTATATACGAACAAAAAATTAAGAGTCTAACATAAATTGTGCCATTGGATCATTATGACGATGTTTTTTCAATCGATATGCTTCTAATTCTTCTTCAGTTGGTTCACGTTGATCATTAATATCTGATTTTAATGAATTATATTTTCGTTTTCGTTCATCCATATTTGCTATTTCTTCAGCTTGTCGTTCACGTTCTTCAATTTTTTTTGCTGCTTCTTGTATTTTTTTTTTATCTAATTTTTTTCTTAAAGAATCTTGTTCATCATTATTTGATGATGAAATTTTTGATTGAATTTTTTGTTTATTTAATTTTTCACGATGTAATTCAACTAATGATTTTTGTTTATCTTGATTAATATCATTAAATTTTTCATCGATTTGAAATTCAATTTCTTTTTCTTCAATTATTTGACCTGTACAATATGATTGTCGTAATAATGAATGACAACATGCATAACCCCAACGATGATTATTCCAATAAGAACCCCATACAGATGTATGTTCATTTTCATAAATATCTTCAACATATTTTGATTTAATTGTTGCACGTTGATCACCTTTAATAACTTTACCAAAACGATTATATTCAACATATTGTTCAGTTTGTGCTTCAACAACAAGTTCACGTGGTATACTATTTAAATATTCTTCACCACCATAACGTTCAATTAATTGTTGTTCAACTGTTTTAATAAATTGATTTTTTTTATCATGAAATTCTTTATTTAATAATTCAAGTTTTGTTGGATCAGCTTGTGTATGAATATTAACACCTTTATCTGATGCTTCCCATGCAAATATTTGACTTTTAGCAAAATCTTTTGCATCACCAGAATAACGTACAAAATTATCACCTAAATATGGTACTTGTGATGGATCTTTATTTGTTCCAGTAAATGGATTATCACGCATTGAACGTGATTTTGGATCATAATAAGCTGATTCAGCATCCAAATTAAGTAAATATTTAGCTGTATCTTCACGTATACGTAAATTACGTACACTAATACGTTGTTTTGAATCAACATGTTGTCCAGGCATATCCATTGAATCTGTATATTTATATTCTTCATCTTCTTCATCATCATCTGAATCAATTTTAGATTTTTTTGTTGTTTTATTTTTATCATCAAATCCTATTGGTTTAGCTGCAACTGTAACAAGAGGATCTGTACTTTCATTTGATATTATTTCATTTATAGCTTGTTCTTCAGCCATAGCTTCTTCATCTAATTTTTTAGCTTTTAAAATTTTTTTTGCTTCAGCTAAACGTTGATGTTCATCTTGAATTTTTTGTTGATGCCAATTAATATCAATACCATTCCAACGATCACGCTTACCATCATAAGATAAATTTATATCTGGTTGTATATATTCATCAGGTGCAAAATCTGAACCAGTAAAACGTGCACCAAGACGACGTGGACGATCAACACAATCTTTACGTTTATGTGTCATTGCACCACAATTTTCACATGCACCTGGACGATAACGTGTTGCAACTTTATCAGCATGACCACGAGCATACCTAAAAAATATTAAATATATATATATATATATTATTTCATATTCTAGAGTAAAGAAAACGGAAAAATTTGTTAGGAAATAATCAATCCGAATTTTATGTTCATAATTAAGGACAAAAACCTTTTGACCTTTGCTTTACGAAGTAATGGTTTTTTCAATGAGTTTTCAATGTCTAACGAGATAACTCGTTTTTGAGTCGAAGCGCTATGTACATTATATAGAACTAAGTGAACTATGAGTGTTCTTGAAAACAGTTCAAGACCTTAGCTTATTGCTACCGAGATATTGTACTTTTACGATTGAAATGTCGTATAGGAAACTGCGGGATTCACGTTTTTGTGGATCCGAACCCAGTGGGATCCAAACCCGAGGTTTTTTCCATGAACACCTGGCACCCCTCGTATACATGAACACGTAATTTCTCATCTGGGAAGCAGTGGGTCCACAAAAATGTGTAACCGGGTCCAACAAAAAATAAAAGGTTGAGCCCGGGTCCGCAGCTTCTTAATGCTGTGGTCACCTTCAGAAACACTAGGAAAACTAATTTTCGAATTTTAACTTGAGATTTTATATAAACTAAAATAATAGCATAGCTTTTACATCGTTCATATATATAATTATTCTCATTAAGGTTTGTCTCTATACAATGTTTCAAGGCGAAATTCGAAAATTAGTATTCCTGAAGGGGACTACAGCATTCATTTCACCAGTACCGTATCCTCGCAACATTATCACGAAGTGATCAAGTTTCATCCTATGATGTTTCTATCCCAATGTATCTTTCTTTCTTCTCATATGGTTTTTTCCTATCTTGTTCGATCTACAGAGTTAACCTCATAAGAAATTCACATTCTTTACAATATAGAACTATAAATCTTCTAAATACTTACCATTCATTAAGAGTATCATATTCTTTTGATTTTTCCGGATGTATACGTTGATGTTTAAGTGTTGGTTTTGCATGATCATATGTAACATACCATGGTACATCAGTCATATATTTTGGTATATGAGGATTAATATCTTTTCCTTCTTCATCAACTTCAGCTGGTGCTGAACCAGCTTTTCGTAATTCTTCAAGTTCTTTTTGTTGTCGATATTCTTCTCGTGTTTGTTTTTTTGGTGCTTCACCATCTTTTTGTCTTGCAAGTATTGATGGTGGTGTTGTAAAATGTTGTTGTGACATATCTGTAAAAGTAAAAAGAAAAATGAAAAGAAAAAATGTTGTTATAATTTACATATAACTATCTATCCAAGAAAATTTTTATTTTCATGAGATAAAAAAAAAAAGAGAAAGAGATTCAAATATCATATTAAATAAATATCGCTGGATTTCGAATATTTCGAAATTTTAATGTTATATAAATAACAATTATTTGAGTTAATGTAAATATGAGCATAATTGATCCAATAATTTTTAAATTTTTATCAAGTTCATTATTTAATAATGTATAACACATAGATAATGTTTCACAACATTGATTTGTTAAATGACAACAAGGTAAATTTTGACATGTTATATTACGATAAAATATTGTTGAATTATCAAATCCACAACAATTATATTTTAATTGAATATGATCAGTTGATTTTTCAAAATTTTGTTTTAATAAATTATATTTTTTTTCATTACGAATTGTTAAATAAGTACATGCAAGAATAAATTGAAATAGAAATAAAATAATTAAAAGAATTATATAAAAAAATAATAATACTTGATGATGTTTTACAGCAGATATTATACCAAATATAGATAAAAATATTAAAAATAAACTTAAAATTATTAATCCAACAAATAAATGAAGATCGATTATTAAAGAATGTAATCGTGTAAATATGGCAAAAAATAAAAATGTTAATGCCAATAGAATATAAAAGATATTAGATATAATAAGTAAACGACGCCAAAATTGAAAAGTTTTTTCTTCAACCATCTAGAATCAAACACACACAAAAAAAAATATTAATGCAAATTTATTTCAAGACAAACATTAATAATTTAATTGATATAAACTATCTGAACAAAACAAACGAGAATTTTTTTTTCTTTTTTTTTTTTTTTTTTTTTTCTAACAAGTAATGACTTCATAAGAAATAGGAATGGATGTAATGGAAGACGATTCAAGAAATATCTGAAATATTAAACAAAAAATAGAGATATAATATAAATGATAAAATAATAGTTTTTTTGTTTTACCTGATCGGATACTGATCGTAATTGAATATGTAAACGACGTAAACATTTTAATCGTTGTTGACATTGACATATAACAAAATTAATACAATCATACAAATGATTATTATTTTTAAATTTTAATGATGTATTATAAGTTTGAATTAATTTAATATGTTGTAAAAATGGAGCTATTTTAAATAATAATGTAAATAATTCTAATGGATGATCAGTTGATATACAAAGTGATCGTAATGAATATAAATAAAATTCATTATGTAATTCAAATGTTGTTGATTCAAATGTTGATTCAGAAAGATCCTTTACAAGAAAAAACAAACGATCTATTCAATGATCTACATTAGTAGATACTAGATAATCGAGATTATCTCAAATTTTTTAAATTCTTATATCAAACAAAAATCTTAATATTTAAATAATGAGCGATGTAAAAATCTTTGCACAAATGTCGAGCTATTTTTTGGACGGACGGAGATGTGTTTGACGGAAGGAGATGTGTTTGACGGAAGGAGATGTGTTTGACGGAAGGAGATGTGTTTGACGGAATATTTTGTTATCAGCTGATAGCTTGTTCTTTCCTCTTTCGAATGATATACAACTAATTATTATTACTTATTCATAAAAAAAAATGACACGTGATGAAAGAGAAATACTCTCACAACATATTTGCAATTTCTATCATAGTTCTTCTAATAATTCTGTAAAAAGTATAGTAAAATATTTCGAAAAACAAAATATTCCACGAAGAACGATATATTACTCTCTTTCTCGTAGAGAAGAGTCTAGCAAACATAAATTGTCTGATTGATTGCTTGTATGTCCGCACTTCACTGATTGGTCGAACAATATGAAAATGCAGGAAATTATTTTTTCCATAAAACCTGACCAAAAGGTAATCGAGGGCAGGGAATCCGAATCTAAGGTCAGTTTTTATTAATTAATTCATAATTAACTAATTATTAATTATTAACTTTTTCTATAAAACTTGATCAAAAGGTAATTCAGGGCGGGGAATCGGAATCTGAGGTCAGTGTTTATTGATTAATTAGTAATTAATTGTGACTTGGTTGTTAACTATGAATATTTTATAAAAAAAAGTTGGTCACAGATATTCGAGGTAAAAGCCAGAATCTATCATCGATGATGAGATTTAGGTAGCAAGAGTAGTGGATAATAAAATTTACTAATCTCATCATAGTGTTGGAAACAAATCAGCCCAACTTTCTGCTCAGAATGCTAAACTCAAATGTGTAAATAGATGCATTTGCCAGAATAATGCAGTGTGAATGTATTAATTTCGAATCGTGGAACCACGTAAATAAGCAATTTGTTAACAGTTTAGAAACAGCACTTCTACGAGAAAGAGTTAAGCGAGTCTACAGACGAGTATTACTTGTAAAGATCAAGAAAAACAAGCAAGAACAAATTGTAGAAAATTGTATCGTAAATTATTAAATGGCTGTGATCTGATTTTAGATGATGAAAAGTACTTCAATTTGTGTGGAGATAATGTCATCGGCAATCGTTTTTTTTTTGTTTTATTCTACTGATTCAACTACAGCTCCTCCAAATATTAAGTTTCAAAAAAAGGAAAAATTTCAACCGAAAGTGATGATTTGGATGGCCATATCATCAAAGGGAGTTTCGAATGTCTATGTGTTCACAAAAGCAAACAAACTGTTGATCAAAAAATATATTTAAAAGAATGTATTAATAGAAGACTGCTGCCATTTATTGATAAATATCATTCGGATGGAAATTATCTGTTTTGACCAGATCCGGCACGGGCCTACTACTCAAAAATTGTGCAAGAACATTTAAATGAAAAAAACATACCATTTGTTCCTCATGCTGATAATCCACCAAACGTGTCTCAAGCTCGTCCAATTGAAGCTATTTCAACCTTATGTAGGTAAAGTTAGCCAAAGATTCGATTAAAACCAGCTAGAATTCGTCCAGGAACTGTTCCAAGTACAATTTGGCGAGCTCTATTCAATGGTATGTTCAGATTTTTCATAGCACCATCTATGGTTCCAAAAAATTATACTTTTAGCTATGAAAAATCTGAACATACCATTGGACAGAGCTCGTCGAGTTGTACTTGAAACACTAATTGGAGCAGTTTGTAACAGCTCCTGGACGAATCCTAGTTGGTTTTACTCGAATCTTTGACTAACTTCACCTATATTTGAACTTTACTTGAACGAAAAGTATATGAAAATAATTGGAAAACAAAAAGCGAAAGAACTTGATCATAAAATATTGCAAGTCATGGTTGAGGATGTTCGAAAAAAACTTCGGGCTATGTGACGAGATAGACTATATTCAGTTTAGTAAATACACTTTATCGTAGCATTTCTCATGTTCTTTCTAATAAGAAAAAAAAATAGGTCTGTAGCTTATAAAATGACTGAACTGTTGAAGTGGACATTTGTTCAAAGACTTTTCCATCGGTCATTAACTAGACTGTTACTTAAGTTAAGTCCGATTTAAAAACTTAATACATACCAATTCTCGTATATCAATATTTTGAAAATAATTCAATGCTCGATCAACATGTCGACAAAGTTTTGATAATTTTACATGATTCCACTTTAAATAAAGAAGTTAGTAAATAATTTTATAATTATTAATAATAATTCTTACTGCAATTGAATTATCAACAAAATTTTTCCATTTATGTGAAACTTGTCGACATCTAGAATTTTCAAAAAAAAAAACAAATTTTTTTGTTTTTGTCTAATATTAATCTTCATTACTTTAATCTTGTTGGTATATCAGTATATTTAATAATTCGTTGAATAATTTGATTATATTTATTTGAATTAAATAAATTAATATTATCATTATCATTAAGTTTTTTAACAAATAAATCAATATCTTCTTTTGACATTCCAATATTTTTAAGTAATTCTAAATCTTCATCTACATAATATGGAAGTATTTTAAATTTTTTTATATTTTTATCTTGATTATTATCATATGATAATATTCGTTTATGTGTATAAACAATTGATGAATCAGGAAATATAATTATATCATAAAATGATGAATCAACATGTGTTGTTATTTGTGCATCTTTAATTGATAATGAATTTAAACCAAAAATTTTTCGAATAATAGTTGATGATAATTCTAAGAGAACACAAACAAAAAATAATATTTTCTATTCTTGTTTTTTTTTTTTTGAAATTTAATAATTTTACCTGAATCTAATTGATGATTATCTGAATGTTTAATAATATTTTGATGAAATAATAAATAATGATTATAAAGTTTTATTGTTATAAATTCTTCAGTATCAATACAATGTTGAACTAATTCATATTGATTATTTGACATGATAACTATTCTACATTTAAAAATAAGCTTATTTCAATCTAAAAGAATTTTTATTTTCTATTATATATACACATATATATCTTATATCTTAAATATTTCAAAAAACATACATACTTGCATCATATGCGTCTATGACATAAGATTTTTTTCTGTACTCCTTTTCTCGTGCTTGTATCATATTAGAATAAATTTGTTTTATTGGTTTGATTAATTACCTAATCAAGTAATAGAAATATTTTAAAGCGTCATCTATAGAGTATCAATTTATAGTTTTTAGAGGATACCATATGTCCAATATTATATATTAAAAATAGTTCAAATTATATACGAGTAATGATCATACTTACTATTATCGGATTTTTTAAAACCCAGCCTTCACCATTTTTTGAATAACTCTCGATCACTTATAGGTATCGAGCTCGGGTTTTCACCATTAGAAGGAGCAAGTGAAAGGACATTTATCTATATAAAATTCATAAGGTTCAAATAAGTTTTTCATCAATGTTTTTGAACGAATATCTTTTTCGTTATCCATTTTTATGACTTTTCACAACAATCTACGCTCAAATTATACCAAATTCTAGCCCAAAACAGCCTTTATCTCTGGTAAAATTTTCATATTTTAAAACTAAAGCTTTGAAGTATTGGTTCTAATAAATTATAGAGAGATTTAAAAATTTTATCAGAGATAAAGGCTGTTTTTGGCTAGAATTTGGTATAATTTGAGCGTAGATTGTTGTGAAAAGTCATAAAAATGGATAACGAAAAAGATATTCGTTCAAAAACATTGATGAAAAACTTATTTGAACCTTATGAATTTTATATAGATAAATGTCCTTTCACTTGCTCCTTCTAATGGTGAAAACCCGAGCTCGATACCTATAAGTGATCGAGAGTTATTCAAAAAATGATGGAGGTTAGGTTTTAAAAAATCCAGCAATAGTAAAATGAATATTATGTGAAACAAAAAGACAAATTTGGTTTTTATTACTTCTTATTCTTTGATTTCATAAATCTTTATTCATTCATTCATTGTTAAACAAGTTCTCCAATAAATATTGAAGTTTATAGCAAGAAGGTTGGCTATAAAGCAACGAAGTAATTCGTACATTGTCTACGAACAATCGTCCAACATTTATTCTTGTTTGTTTATTTATTTACACACGAATAATAATTATTAGAGTCAAAAGATCATATATATACAAGGAACTAAAAGAGAACGTGATGAATATTCTACATCTCTAAACCGTAAATGTGATAAAAATTTCTATAGTATTAATTTAAAGAATTAGCAGAGATAATTGATCGATAAATTGCATCATCTACATTTCAACACTTTACGATAAATAGAAGATTCCACAATAGATAGTCATAATGCTGAAAAATAAAATCGACAAAAAGAAATTTTTTTGCTTATCATTATGGAGAAATAACTGGGAAAAATCCAGAAAATACTATTCAACATTAAGAAACATTAGGTATGAGTAATAGGTGCTTTAAAAAATTTTCTATATAACTTTTCCTTGTTTTGAAGTTTCTGTCTGCTGTAATTTTCGATATTCGATAAATGAATACAGTTTTTGTCTTTTCGTAATATTCCGATAAATGTAAAATGTGAATATCAATATTTAATTACTGTTTACAAGCGAGATTATTTATAAATTCACTTTTTACATACCATTCAGTCTTCGTGGGATGCTGTATGTGATTGAATCACATGATAATTGTCGTAGCACACGTTTGTCGTTATAATCGATTGACGTCGCCCAATTGTCGCTTTCTCTAAATAGAAAGTTAATATGCACAATTAAGATAATTGAGGTATAGTCAATCCACCCACATTCACACTCCTAATTTAGAATATGCTATTATTTTTTTTTATTCAAATCGTATTTTTCTAATCAAAATCTATTAAATATCAAGCAAAAAAACTTCATATATCGAGAATAGTCGTCTGAAGATTTCTTTATGTGACTAGCGTTTTTTCCTAGATGTGTTTATACCATTTTGAATAGCTTTAAAAAGTGTTTTTGAATGATATGAAAATAACCTACATTGCAAATTTCTTTTAAATTCTATTTTGTAGAAAATCAAGTTTAAATAAGTTAAAGCAGTTTTAAAATTTACATTGATTCATTCATCGAATTTTTTAATGTTCAGAAAATGCTTGATTTTCTACAAAAATGATTTTCAAAAGAAATTAGAAAATCAATATAAATTCTAGAAATAGTCAAAAATGAAAGTAACTTTCTGGAAAATTGTTTGAACAACGATCACTATGGAGCCATTGTTCATTCATGTATATAAGTCAGCCGGTAGAGTTGCGCATTCATCATTTTCTTCGGTAGGTGTAATGAGTTGATAAATTATATTTTCTACAACTGTTGCATGAGTCAGTCGATTTTAAATGTATTTTCTCTTGGAAACAGAAAGTCTTAGTAGATTTTCAAAATTCTAGAAAATGCTCCAATTTCTAAACACAATGCAAAACTGTAGGAATGTCCATACGAATTCAGTTTCGATTTATTTCTTATTTTTATCTTGAATGTTGTATTTTCAAGAAAGTAGAAATTCGTCTCCGAAACCGTATAGGCATTCTTAAAATATTCTGTTCTGTACTCTATAACTTGTTTTCTGCTTTACAGTGTAGTCGTTGATGAGATGGGTACATACTCATATCGTAAATACCGAACAGTTTTTAGCGGTAAACCGTGGTGTTTATCAAAACCGGCGGTTTACCGCGGTAAATTACAGTAATGGGAGCCGGTAACCGGACGGATAAAACCGCGGTAAACCGGAGATTTTTCTGAGCATTTTTATGATATGGGAAGATAGAAGAAAAAAAACGTTTAAAATAGCCAAATCGATGATTTAAAGCAATGAAATGTCAAAGTTTATTGGCGATCCGGTAACCGGATCGGTAAAACTGCGGTTAACCGCCGGTTTTCATCCGATTTTTATCGCATGGGTAAAAAGTGCTAATTATCATCGACAGTCAAGTTCAATGTACATGTAACGGCCATTGACTATTTCGATTGATGTATTCGGACACCTTGTGTGATAGTTTGGCATAGAAAAAAAATCGAATTTGTCGAAAATGCCATTTTGAACAGTTATTGACTCCGCTCCTCTCTGGATCAGAATCCGAGTGTGAAAGGACCCACAGCTTTCTAATCGTGATAAATTTCATTTATAAAGATTTTGTTTTCGTCTATGACAATAAAAATGTTCTCGTTTATAATAAAAATCATTACATTATTAGAAAATAAAATTTGATATTGTTTAGATCTAACCAAAAGTTCTGAGAACATTAAAGAGTAATATAAAGATTTGAAGATATTTTTAATTTTATTTTATCAAAAGTTGAAAATAGTCGCCATGATTATTTATATCAAGTTCAATCCTTTCGACACAATCTACTAAAAGTTTTTTTGATCTCTTTTTCTAACAAAAATTTTAGCTATCTTGGAAAACACATGAGCTAATTATATTTCATTTGTTTTCAAAATTTAATGGAATTTTGTTCGAACATGTCAGCTGCATTCTAGCACTACTTGAAGATGAATTGACAAAGACTGTGGTTCATGAAGACAGATTTTAACCAAAACTTTGTTTACTATATTCTTTAAATCAAATAATCCTGAATGTAGATAAAGGCAAGACTGTAGATTACAATTATTATATTGAAAATTGCCCGAAGGCTTCTGTTAATGAAATATAGAAACAAACATGGACATTAGATTCAAAATGTATGAAATTGTTTGACGATCATTGTTACTCATCCAATGTTATCAATTCTATGACAGAAGAAGGTATTAATATAATGTCATGCCCAACATATTCGTCAGGTCTGATACCATATAATTTTTAGCTAACTAATTCTATCGAATATAGTTTAAGTGATTAAATAAATGAAATATAATTAGCTCCTGTGGTTTCCAAGATAGCTAAAATTTTTGTTAGAAAAAGAGATTAAAAAAACTTTTAGTAGATTGTGTCGAAAGGATTGAACTTGATATAAATAATCACGGCAACTATTTTCAACATTTGATAAAATAAAATTAAAAATATCTCTAAATCTTTATATTACTCTTTAATGTTCTTAGAATTACAAGTCATCTATTTTACATGCAAAAGAAAATTTATCAAACAGATGTTTATAATTCAGTTTGATTCAAACTGTAATTTGATAGTTCATTATTCACTAGAATAAACATCTAAAATAATAATAATAATTACAGAATCAAATATCTTAATATTAAACAACACGTCAGTTTGAACATAAAGAACAAATGCGAAAAACATCAATCTTATATTACTCTACACTCATCAATATAGAATTAACACATTTTTCAAAAACGGAAATTCATTATAAATTACATTCAAAAATATACAACAAACGTTATATTTTTTATTTGTTAATACACTATCTAAACAAAATAGCCACATATATTAAAATGTTGATGGATTACTTAAATGTTATAGTTGAGCATCACCTCAAGAAATTCATTAGTTTACTTAAAGACCTTTTTATATTCTATGTCAAAGAATGCAATCTTATTAAAAGATCAATATATATATATAAAGAATATTTTCCTTAGAGAGAGAAAAGTGCAGTTCTATTTATATGAATAAGGTATCATTCAAGTGGAATAAAAGTGTTAAAAAGGTGAAATAAGTGGTAAATATGCATGAGTTAATTCATTTGCTTTTTTGGTTAAATATTCTTTTTCTAGAATTATAGTTTAATATGAAAAACAAGATTTTGTTTTTTCTTGTTGTATTTATTTTAAATTATGAAAATATTTTCTATTCATGTCATAACTTATTATGTCATATATCTAATCTATATTCTCTCTCTTATCTTTGGAATGCTTGAAAAATTTTTCACATCTATATCTGTTTGTTTCTTTTTTTTTTTTCTTTTTATCTTCTTTTCTGCTGGCATGACAGCAACAGAATAGCATGAATGTCTCCTTAATTCCTTTCTATATTCATTC